TTCCACATCTTTGCAATTGTGAATTATGCTTCAGTAAACATTTTAATGATGTTGATTTTACCAATTCATGAGCATGAGATGTTTTTCCATTTGTTTGCATCATCTGTAATTTCTTTCACCAGTATTTTGTAGTTCTCCTTGTTTCTACTTCTTGGCTAAGGGCATTCCTAGGTACCATATTTTCTTTGTAGCTTCTGTAAGTGGTATCGAGTCCTTGATTTGACTCTCAACTTGACTGGTATTAGTAGATAGAAATTCAACTAATTTGTGAACATTAAGTTTGTAACCTGAGACTTTGCTGAATTTATTTTTCAATTCTGGGAATCTTTTGGTGGATGGAGTCTTTAGGGTTTTCTATATACAAGATGATATCATCAGTGAACAGGGATAGTTTGCCCACCTCTTTCCTGATTTGAATAACCTTTATTTCTTTCTCTTGCCCCGAGACTTCCAGTACTGTGTCAACTAGAAGCATTGACAGTGGGCACCTTTGTCCTGTTTCAGTTCTTAGTGGAAGGAATGCTTTCAACTTTCCCCCATTCAGTTTGATGTTGGCTGCCAGTTTGTCATATATTGCTTTTGTATTTTAAGGTATGTTCCCTCTAAGGCTACTGCTTGAGGTATTTTTAAATCTAGAAAAGGTCCTAGATTTTATCAAGTGATTTTTCTCCATGTATTGAGATGCTCGTATGATTTTTGTTTTTGCTTTTGTTTATGTAGTGGATCACATTTATTGACTTGTATCGGTTAAATCATCCTTGCATCCTGAAAGTGAAATCCACTTGATTATGGTGAATTATGTTTTTGACATTTTGTTTAATTTGGTTTGTTAATTCTTGGTTGAGGATTTTTGTGTCTATATTTATAAGGAATATTGGTCTATAGATTTCATTTTCTGTGGTGTCCTTCCCTGGCATTGGTGTCAAGGTGATACTGGCTTCATAGGATGAGTTAGGGAGGATCCCCCATTTCTTGATGTAATGGAATAATTTCCACAAAATAGTTATCTATCTTCTTTTAGATCTGATAGAATTCAGCTGTAAATCTATCTAGTCCATAGATTTTTTGGTTGTTGTTGGGAGTTTTTTAAAATTACTGCTTCAATCCTACTGCTCATTATTGGTCTGTATAGGATTTCTATTTCTTCCTGATTCAGGCTTGGGAATTTGTGTGTTTTCAAGACTTATCTGTTTCCTATACATTTTCTAGTTTGCGTGCATAGAGGTTTTCTTAGAATCCTCAGATGATGTTTTGTATTTCTGTGGTTTTAGTTGTAATGTCCCCTTTTTCATTTCTGATTGAGCTTATTTGGGTCCTTTCTGTTGTGTTTTTGGTCAACATGGCTAATGGTCTATTGGTTTCATCTAACTTTTCAAAGAACCAATTTTTGTTTTGTAGTTTTGTTTTGTTTTCTTTCTTTCTTTCTTTCTTTTTTTTTGCTTGTTTCCATTTCATTTAGTTCTGCTCTGAGCATTGCTACTTCTGTTCCGTTGGCCATTGGGTTTGGTTTGCTTTTCTTTTTCTAGTTCCTTGAGATGTGACATAAAGTTGTGAATTTGTGATCTTTCTGTCTTTTTGAAGTAGGCATTAAGGCTGTGAACTATCCCGTCAGGGCTCCTTTTATGATATTCCTCAATTTTGATGGCTTGTGTCTACTTTGTCATTCCGTTCAAGGAATCTTTTGATTTCCTTCATAATTTCATTGTTGGCCATCCAACAGCAGGTAGGACTTTGTGTAGATCTGAGCATTTCTCTTGGAGTTGATTTCTAGTTTTATTCAACTGTGGTTTGAGAAGGTACATGGTATGACTTTGATTTTTCTGAATTTTCTGAGACTTCTTTTATGGCTGAAGATATGATCTAATCTTGGAAAATGTGCCATGTGCTGGTGAGAAGAATGTATATTCTGCCCTTTTGGATAGACAGTTCTGCAAATGTCTAGTAGGTCCATTTGTTCTATGGACCTGTTTAAGTCCACTCTTTCTTTGTTGATCTTCTGCTTTAACAATCTGTTTGGTCTATCAGTGGAATGTCGAAGTCCCTGGCAATTATTATGCTACTGTTTATTTCTTTGCTTAGAGCTAGTAGAATGTGTCTCAGGAATCTGGGAGCTCCTACGTACAAATATATTTAGGACTGTTACCTCTTCTTGCTGAATTGCTTCCTTTATCAGTATACAATTACCATTTGTCTTTTTTTTAAACCATTTAAACCACATTTTTTTGATTTAACTTCTATTTTATTTGATATGGGAATAGCTATTCCTCCTTGTTTTGGCTTGTATTTTTGTGGAACATTTTTTTTGTCCATTCCTTTACCTTGAGTCTATGAGGATCCTTGTGAGATAGTTGGGCTTCCTGGAGACAGCATATATTTGGGTTATGTTTTCTTATCCTTTCAGCCACATTGTATCTCTTAAGTTGAGCATTAAGACCATTTACATTCAAACAAAGTGCAAAATTATTTTTTTCTAAGTCTGTGATGTATGACATTGTATTTTGATGGGGATTGCATTGAATCTATAAATCATTTTGGACAGTATGGGCATTTTAACAATGTTGATTCTGCCAATCCATGAGAATGATATGTTTTCCCATTTGTTTGTGTCATCTGCATTTCATCATCCTCCTTGTAGAGATTTTTCACCTCTTTCATTAAGTATATTCCTAGGTCTTTTTTTCTTTGTAGTGATTGTGAATCATATTGAATCTTTGATTTGACACTCAGTTTGACTGTTATTAGTATAAAGAAGTGCTACTGATTAATGTACATTGATTTTATATGCTAAGATTTTGCTAAATTTATTTATCAACTCCATAAGTCTCTTTGTGGAATAATTTTCTGCTTTGCTTGGAACAAGAAAAGAGCCCAAGCAGCCAAAGCAAACTTAAGTAAGAAGAACAAATCTGGAGGCATCATATTACCAGACTTTAAACTCTACCACAAGTCTATTGTAATCTAAACAGCATGGTATTGGTAAAAATAGAGAGATAGACCAATGGAGCAGAATAGAAAAACCAGATATGAAAACACCTATCCACAGGCAGTACCCATAGCTCTTGGGTAGGGTGCCAGCCACATACACCAAGGCTGGTGGGTTTGAGCCGGGCCCTGGCCTGCTAAAACAATGACAACTGCAACAAAGAAAATAGCCTGGCATTGTGGCGGGTACCTGTAATCCCAGCTCCTTGGGAGGCTGAGGCAAGAGAATTGCTTAAGTTCAAGAGTTGGAGGTTGCTGTGAGCTGTGATGCCACGGCACTCTACCCAGGGCAACAGCTTGAGACTCTGTCCCCCTCTGCAAAGAAAACAAAAACAAACACCTACCTATAACCAACTAATCTTTAACAAAGCAGATAACAATGAACACTGGGGAAAATATCTTATTTAATAAATGGTACTGGGAAAATTGGATAGCCAATGGAGAAGAATGAAATAGGACCCCTAGATCTTACCACTCAAAGATTAGTTCAAGACGGATAAAAGATTTAAATGTAAGGCATGAATCCATAAGAATTCTAGAGGAAAATGGAGGAAAAACCTCTTCTAGATATTGGCCTAGGCCAATTTATGAATAAATAAATTCTTTATGAAGAATTTATGAATAAGACCTCAAAGGCAATCACAGTAACAATGAATATAAGTAAATGGGATTTGATTAAACTAAGAAGGTCCTGCACAACTAAGGAAACAATTAACAGAGCAAATAGACTCTTGGTAGTAACCATTATAATTGGGGTAAGATGATAGCTCATCTTGGTTTTGATTTGTGTTTCTCTTTTATTAATGATGTTAGTGAGGATGTGGAGAAAAGGCAACACTCTTACCCTATTGGTGGAAATGTAAATTAGTACAGCCACTACGGAAAACTGTATGGGCATTCCTCAAAAAACTAAGAATAGAACTGCCATATGATCCAGCAATCCTACACACACACATATATTCTGCAAAGAAAGGAAATCAGTGTATCAAAGACTTATCTGTAGTTCCATGTTCATTGCAGCATTATTCACAATAGCCAAGGTAGGAATTCAATTTAAGTATCTATCAGTGGATGAACAGATAAAGAACATTTGGTATATAAATAAAATGGAATACTATTCAATCTTAAAACATGAAATTCTGTCATTTGAAACAACATGGATAGCCCTAGAATTCATGGTGTTAAATGAAATAAACCAGGCACACAGGACAAATGTCACGTGTTCACATTCAATATGTGGGAGCTAAAACATCTTAGCTCATGGAGGTAGAGAGTAGAATGGTAGTTACCAGAGGTTAAGAAGGGTAGTAGGGAGGGGTGTGAACGGGTACAAAAATGCAGTTAGATAGAAGGAATAAGAACTAGTATTCAGTAGCACAACAGGGTGACTACAGTTAACAATAACTTAGCGTATATTTCAAAATAACCAGAAAAGTAGATTTGGAATGTTCCAAACACAAAGTAATGATAAACGTTTGAGGTGATGGGTTCCCCAAATTACAGATTTGATCATTACACATCGTATGCTTGTATCCAAATATCACATATATCATTATATGTACAACTATATATACCCATAAGATAAAAATATTAACAAAAGGAAATAAATGACAGGCACAAAAGGAACACAAGTGTGGCCGCAGAAATTCTTCTCCAACAAAATGATGTAAAAGGCCTCAGTTGTCACTTGTAGTTTATTCTGTGGGACTAGCACAACTAATCACTCTATGGAAAAACGGGAATCTCCAAAATTGTTTCTGACCCAATGTTGGGAGAACTTTGGGAGGGTAGGAAAATGACAGAGGGAAAAGTCTTTTGAATGTCAGAGAGAGCAGAAAGCTTCATAAAAGGGAGTTGATTAAATTTGATAAAGCAGTTGTGTTCAAAGAAATGGAAACTTCAGGAAATAATAAAGAGAAAGAGCAAATTGCACTTCCATGCTCTGATGGACCAACTATAGCAATTCCGGGCTCTGGTGTTCGATTCTTGACACCATGGGTACAACTTCAGCCCCAGGACTATTGGCCTTCTTCAGTTTTTCCTCCCCCCAAATCCTTCAGAGCCCGCTTTATGTCTTTATTCCTCAGACTGTAGATGAAGGGGTTCAGCATGGGGGTGACCACTGTGTACATCACTGAGGCTGTTGCACTGGAGTGTGAGTTGTGGGTGGCAGCAGAACTGAGGTACACCCCTAGGCTTGTGCAATAAAACAAGGAGACCACTGAGAGGTGAGATGAGCAGGTAGAAAATGCTTTATACTTGCCCTGAGCTGAGGAGATTGCACGTATGGAGGAAACTATCTTAGAGTAAGAGTAAAGGATCCCAGTAAGGCATCCCCCACCCAGGAGCACAGCTGCCAAATACATTACTATGTCATTAAGAAAAGTGTCAGAACAGGCAAGGTGGATTATCTGATTAAGTTCACAGAAAAAGTGGGGGATTTCCAAGTCTGTGCAGAAGGTCAGCTGTAGCACCATTAAGCTATGTAATGAGGAATGCAAAACACCCAGGATCCAGGATGCCAGAACCAGCAGTCCACAGAGCCTGGAGTTCATGATGACTGAATAGTGCAGGGGGTGACAGATGGCCACAAACCGGTCATAGGCCATGACCATCAGGAGAAAGCTGTCCAACCCTACATAGAGTATGAAAAAGTACATCTGGGTGATGCAGCCTGTATAGGATATGACTTTGCTCTGTGTCTGGATGTTCACCAGCATCTTTGGGACAGTGGTAGAGACAAAACAGATGTCCACAAAGGACAGGTTGGAGAGGAAGAAGTACATGGGGGTGTGGAGGTGGGAGTGCATAATGATGACTAGGATGATGAGCAGGTTCCCAAGCATGGTGATCAGGTACATGGATAAGAACACCCCAAAAATGAAGGGCTGCAATCCATGTTCTACTGAAAATCCCAGAAGAAGAAATTCTGAAATGTGTGTATCATTGTCTGGTTCCATGTGGATCAGGCGACTACAAAAAAAAAAGAAAAAAGAAAAAAAGAACATGACACAGGCATGCATCATTCACCAGTCAGAAATGCTACTGTTTATGTTCTATAGTCAAGAAATTAACTCCTGTAATCTGTGTATCGGTCTGTTCCCCTTCAGGGATCCCCATCCCGTATCTGTTTAGGAATTTCTTTTCTGTGATGCTCAGATTTTCTCCAAATGGTCATGTATTCTAAAATTTTGATGAGAAATTTTTTTATTCATTTGGAGGAATACAAATTGAATAAATATTATGTCTCAGGCTCTATCTAGACAATGTGTGAAGAGTACCAAAACAAAAAACAACACCCAAGCCCCTAAATACCTCCAGTAAAATGTGGAGAAAGAATAGAAGCAAATAAAAGGAAATCACATACCATGTCAGATGGAGACATGTGCTATGAAGAAAAAGAAAGAATATATAAAAAAGAGTGAATGGGTGTGTTAAATTATACAGGCTGTTCAGGAAAGTTTAGCCAACAAGGTAAAGAGATCTTGCAGAGACCTCAAGGAAGACAGGATGGAGGCTAATTGGTAATCTGTGTGCCCAGAGGAGGGACGGCCAGTGCAAAGGCCCTGAGGAAGACACTTGTTTCAGAGGATCAAGGCCAAAAAGAAGTGCAATTAAGCAAGAGAAAAAGTGGTGATACTTTGTGTCAGAGAATGTTGCAGAGTGAGGTTGTCTTATTGGTTGTTGAAATGCCAAGATACAAGGAGTTCTAGGGTCCAGATGTTTGTGCATTTGCACTTCAATAAATTTGCTCCCAAAGTTTTCCTTGCATTAAAATGCATCCCTTTTTGTTTCCGTATGTTGCCTGTGTTCTGACCTGTATGTTATATAATGTTTTGGAATATATTGAGTCCAGTTTCCCTTGCTCTGGAACCTACTCTTGCCCTTAAAGGCACCCCCCAGTCCAGAGCACAGATACACATGGACAAAGAGGATTCCTGGGGCATGGGAATGGCACTCCTTTCTCACTCCATCGTGATGTTAGACCGGGATGGGTACAAGGCAGACTGTCAATATCAGATTATCTTTTTGCTTTGGTATAGCCATGTCCTGCCCTCTGTTTAAAGAAAAAAAATTGTTTTAAAACCCCATAAAAACCATTCCTGGGTTGATATGGTGCATATTGCAAGGGTACATGTTAAATCTATTAAGAGTAGAGTATAAATGTCTTTTTTTTTCCACTTTTTTTTTTATTAAATGATAGCTGCATACATTAATGCAAACATGGGGTACAGTGTAGTGTTGTCATATACATTTTGAAATACTTTCATCAAGCTGGTTCACATAAATTTCATGTCATTTGCATAGTCATTGTGTCAAAACATTTACATTCTAGTTCTAGAAAAGTTCACTTGTACCCTTGTTAGACAGAAATACAGGTGATCTTTCCGGTCACCCTCCCACCACCCAGCCACCCTTCTTAACACCATAATTAAGTAAATGAGGTGAAGGCTATGTTAACCAGTTTGATGTAAGCATTCCAAATTATATATAAAATCAGCCAGTTGTACCCCATAAATGCATTAATATACACAGCTATGATTTAATAAAAAAATTAAAAGAGAAAAAACCCCATAAAAACAAAATACTTACTTGATAAACACAGGAGAGGGGAATTCAATGGACCCGAGTGTGTGTGTGTGTGTGTCTGTCTGTGTGTGTGTGTAGAATATTTACCAATCCTAGGTAATTCCTGAGGGATCAGAGAAAGTAAAAAGTTTCCTTGGTTATAGCAACATTTCACCTCCCCTTATATTTTCTTCATACCAAGGTACAATAATAACAGATCAAAAACAAATTACTCCAAAAGATAAAAGTATTTTTTTGGTGCCAAGACACTTATAGATTAGACACCGCAATAGAAAGAAGGAGCAAAGGAAATAGACCAACAATTCAAAAAGAAAATGAGATCTACAAAGAAAAACAAAAGTTAGGCATTTAAAAATATGAAACAGTAGGACACTTTATTTAGAAATACAAAACAGTAGGGCACTTTTTTTTCTGGTGCTTATTCCAAGTTGATTTGAATGACTGGTTTTTATGTGGTACTACAGAAGATGAGACAGGCAGCTTTCTCACTTTTCTTGCGTGGCAATCTATTCTTTGCTATTCTTAGGTTTGGGGTTTTGATCTGGTATATATACTTTTTTTTAACAAACCCCATGGGCACACTTCAGTCTAGGATCCAGTCTTTTTCCAACATGCAAAGACTTCCATAATACTTCCATGGGTATGACCTTGAAAGTCTACCCTTTCCCACTGAAAAACATTCTTTGTATAATTAATCCCCAAAGACATTATGTCTTATGCACATTTATTTAACTGTATTCTGTTTTCTCCATTATAATGCAAGGTACAAATGAGCAGGGAATTCACCTGCTTTGTGCACCTTTGTGTTTTCACAAAGATAGGTGAATATGTGTGTATGATATAGAAACAAGTTTTAAGAAAATGGGATATAGAAACAAATTTTAAGAAAACTGTAACATTTTCTGGGAAATGGCAGGGAAATAAAACCAGCTTACACACAGAAGTTTCCAAATAACAATGTAGTAAACTAAACAGAAAGGAGTATTGGTAAGTAACTGAAAGAAGATATAAAATGGCAATAATTCCATGATTTCAACATGGATAAGGAATTAAAGTTGCAAAGATCAAGACATAAGAGATTATAACACATAAGTGAGCTGGAGGGATCTAAATTTGTAGTTCTATTTTCTATAAAGAAATACAGATAAAATATGTTTATGAAAGATAAAGGTAATCTCTAGTCAAACGGGGAGGAAGAAAGCCTTCGAGGTCATGGCCAAAGGCACTGTGAATTAGGGAAATGGACTGAATCACAAAAGGAAAGAAAGTGTAATAAAGAGCAATAGTGATGTGAGAATGAGTTGGAAACATATGAAAGGCAATTTATTCACACAAATGACACAGAAGAACTTGTACCTTTATAAAGCACTGAGGGGGAGATGATATGACTGACAGAAAGATTTGATCCCACAAGTTTATAGACTTTCCTATGTTCCCCCAGGACCTTTATACACACGTAACAAAATAACTAAATGGCAAACAGCAAAGGTGGTAAAAACTGCAGTTCTTTTGTTTGATAGAACACAATCAGAGACAGAAAGAAAAACTCTAAGAACCCACTGTACAAAAGCTAAGAATTCATACATACCTTCGATGAATCCCAAACAATAAAAAAGAGAGAAAGAAAGAAAAAACAAAAGAAGTCATACAGAAAATTTGCAATAGCAAAAGCAAATGTACAAGCATACAAATATACTCAGACCCAGAAGTAAGGAAATAATTGCAAGTTAAGCCCATTTCACCTGGTAAATAACTTTTTTATCCCTTATACCTAGCATGAGGGGAGATAATTGCAAAATACAGGCCTCACAAAGTGCTTTTGCAAGGTAGTGTCAGCAAGTGATCTATTGGTGGAGATCTTTCTCATCAATGTGGAAACACACTCAGATATGCCCTGTCTTATAAATAAAAAAGAAATGCCTTCACTTCATCTACTTCCCATAAATGCAAAGGTCCTTGAACATTTGTTCTACTTTTACTGGAACCACTTTACGTCTTTAATTCTCTCTTCTAATTAGGCTCTCAGCACTTAAATGTCAACATTGCTGAGTCCAGTGCACAGTTCCCTTTTTGGCATTGTAAATAAAAACCTTAATCAACCAACTAACTGATTGATCAAACAACTATAGCAATCTCCAGGGTCTGGGCTAGTCAGGTTTGCCTCTCAGGTGACCTCAGGTAAATATTCTCTGCTCTCATTCGCTGAAGCTTTCCTGTGGTACCACCTGGTCTCTCAGACTTACCTACATGGGATCTCTCTTTGTGTAGAAATTCAAATGCCTTCCTGGATGGTGGATGGTAGAGACTGAAACTCTGTCATCAGACAAGGCAGCAGGAAGGAGTGAAGCATGGGTTTCCAAGCCAGACTTAGGACTCCAAAAGAAGCAACAATGTCCCTTCCAGCCCTAGGTTGTACATGACAACCAAAGAGGAGATACTTACAGCTCCCTGAATCTGCTCATGTGGCTCCGTTTCCCCCTGACTATTCAAACCCGGAGCACATCATTTCCCTGTGGGACTTACTTGGTAAATGGGGAACTGGGACCTAGTCACGAAAACTGCTATCCAGTGATAACTGCTCTGTGCAAGATAATTTCCCATGAGCTTTTAAATATTACATACTTCTCACAGAAACTCCATAAAGTAGGTGGGACCTCCCAAGTTTATGGATAAATAATTAAGGTCTAACAGTCTCACTTCCTGTCATGTAGGAAGTACTCAAGAGACAAGTGTAGACATTTTGAAAAATGTAAATGCTTATTTTTGAATGATAAAAATTGCATATATTATATGGTAAAATGTGATGTTTTGATCTCTGAGTGCATTGTGGAATAATGATATCAGATTGATTAACATGTTCATCTCTCATATATTTTTTTTGTCATGAGGACATTTAACTTCTATTCTTTAGCAAGTTTGAAATATGCAATGCATTATTATCAACTATGCTCACCTTGCTCTGCCATAGATCTTGAAAAGTTTTTCCTTCTGTCTAACTAGAACTTGGTACCCTTTGGTCAACATCCCCTCATTCCCTACACCCGTTGCAGCCTCTGGTAAACACTATTCTACTGTCTACTTCTCTAAGTTCAACTTCTTTGGTTTTACATGTAAGTGAAGTCATGTGGTGTATTTCATTTAACATAAGGTCCTCCAGGTTCATTCATGTTGTCACAAATGACAGAATCTTATTATTTTTCTGAAGGCTGAATAATATTGCATTGTGTATTTATGCTACATTTAAAAAAAATCAATTCACACATTGATGGGCATGAAGGTTGGTTCCATATCTTGGCTGTTGTGAATTATGCTGCAGTGAAGACAAGAGCACAGATATCTCTTCAATAACACAGATTTCGATTCTTTTGCATATGCCCCCAGAAGTGCTGGATCACATAGTGATTCCATTTTTAGTTTTGTGAAGAACTTTTCACTGGCTCCATACACTACATTCTTACCAACAGTGTTCCAGTGTTCCCTTTCTCCACATACTTGCCAACTCTTGTTATCTTTTGTCCTTTTGATAATAACCATTCTAGCATGCGAGAGGTGATAGCCCTAGTTTTCATTTGCAATTTTCTGATGATTAGTATTATTGAGCACTTTCTTTGCAAACCTTTTGGCTATTTGTATCTCTTCTTTTGGGAAATGTATTCAAGTCCTTTGCTCATTTTTAAATTGGTTTATTTGTTTCTCTTATTTTGTTGCTATTGAATGGCTTGATTTCTTTATATATTTTGGATGTTAAACTCTCATTAGATGTGTGATTTACAAACATTTCCCCCATTCTCTAGGTTGTCTCTTTATAATGTCAATAATTGTTTCTGTTGGTGCGCAGGGGATTGACGCAATCCAGTTTGTTTATTTTTGCTTTTATTGACTGTTCTTTCATAGATTATTATTTTAATAATCTTTGCCCAGATCGACATCTTGGCTCTTCCCCTCTGTTTTCTCCTAAGTAATTTTACCATTTTAGGTTTTACAATCAAGTCTTTGATTCATTTTGAATTGATTTTTGTGTCTGATGTGAGAAAAGGGTCTGATTTCATTCTTCTGTATATGAATATCCAGTTTTTCCAACTTTTTATTACTATAGGTTTATAATATATATATTTTTAATTGAAATCACATTTTAAAAAATTCCTTATAACTGTGTACATTAATGCATTTATGTGGTACAATGTGCTGATTTGATATACAATGTGGAATGCTTACATTTAATGGATTAACATAGCTATCTCCTTGCTTACTTATTTGTTGTGGTAAGACATTCATACTCTATTCTTAATAGTTTAGAAATGTATCATTACATTATGCACATTAGGTTAGCTGCCCCCAAATATCCTTCTTCTTCCAAACCTCCCTCCTCCCCTCACCTTCTTCTTCCCTCCTTCTTTCTGGGCTATAGTTATGTTTTACCATTCCTATGAATGTGTAGGTGATTATATACTGATTTCTTAGTAGTATTGAATACATTGTATACTTTTCCCCCCATTCTTGAGTTAATTTACTAAAAAGAATATGTTCCAGCTCCGTCCAGGTAAACATAAAAGATGTGAAGTCTCCATCATTTTTATGGCTGCATAGTATTCCATGGTGTACATATACCACAATTTGTTAATCCTGTAATGCCTCCAGTAAACCCTCCCCGCCAGAAGCTTTGGCTGTTTGAGGTCTTTTGTTATATATTAATTTTAAGCCTTTTTTATTTCTGTAAAAATGACACTGGTGTTTTGATAGTGAATGTAAGGAATATGTTGGTTGCTTTGGGTAGTAAGTACATTTTAAGAACACAATTATGTCCAATCCATTAACATGGGATGTCTTCTTATTTATTCATGTTTCATTCAATTATTTTCACCAATGTATCGCAGTTTTCAGTGTAGAGATTTTTTACCTTTTTTTTTTTTGCATTTTTTTGCCAGGGCTGGGCCTGAACCTACCACCTCTGGCCACTCCTTTGAGCCACAGGCACTGCCCGATTTTTTACCTTCTTGATTAAGTATTTCATTTAATTTTTAATTGACAGCTAATCAGTGCTTCAATCACTTTGATCAACCACTTTGATCAATCACTTGATCAACCATCAAGTCAAGTGTGCTATGACATTGGAACAGAGGGGTGGGAGCCCTGAGGACATCAGGGAGAGGTGTGCCTGGCAAAAGGAGTGATGAATGCCAAAGCCCTAAGGAAGGTGCTTGTTTCAGAAAACCAAGGCTTAAAAGCAAGCCAGTGTCGTGAAGCAAACGAGTAAGGGTGACAGTGATGAGAGATGATGGTGGGGAAGTTTTCTCTGTGCTGCTGCTGCTGAAATTTTTGGATGTGAAGAGTCCTTCATGTTTTTTCCAAGCCTTCTATTGTAGTCCTCTAAGGATGACAACAGAGCAGCCAATTCCATTGTAAAGCTTCCCACGAAAGTGCCTACTTGGGGGTTCATTTTAATAGCATGACCATGTTGTGCTCTGTATTAAACAAAGCATTAAGAAAATCTGCTGAATAAACAGAGAGAGATGAATTTGATAGACATTATGGGGCAAAGGATTCAATATACATGGGTGGTCCATGAAAGATTGTGGTTCTAGCAGGATTCCAACGCTGGTCAAATACCCTGGATTCCCAGAATAATTCATAAATAATGAGAAGTGATTTCTTTATAGTGTCAAAACACCCTGTAGATTGAAAACCCTAGGGTAAAAATGAGCAGAGGGAATAAACACACAATTCATAAAAGGAAATTTACAACACAATGTACAAAGTGAGGAGTTTTTAAAATGTGCAAAGATAAAAGACTTTTCTAAATAATATAAATGCAAAATATTTGAAATTTTAAAAGATGGGGTTGGATTCTTGGATCTGATACATACTAGATGTTTGAACTCTGAAAGCCAACAATACAATTTTCACTCATTTCATAAAATAAATTTTGTGGTTCTTTTCATAAATCCCCAAATGGTGGATTAGAGGCCTTGTCAGTGCTCCTCATTCCCTTGGAAATAGCAAAATCATGTGCAGAGAGTCATATTATGACTCTTTATCCAAGAAGGAACATGAGAGCTCAATGAAAAAGTGGAAGGGCTTGGCGCCTGTGGCTCAAGTGTCTAAGGCACCAGCCATATACACCTAAGGTGGCGGGTTCGAATCCAGCCCGGGCCCACCAAACAACAATGATGGCTGCAACAACAACAACAAAAAAATAGCCGGGTGTTGTGGTGGGCACCTGTAGTCCCAGCTACTTGG